TGTGACTTTAACTGAGCATCACTATCCCACAATACTGTGAAATTTGGGAAATTATGTAACCACTTAATCACAATAAAAAATTTGAAAAAAAATACACAAGAAAAAATAATCAATTTTTAAAAAGGGCTTACAGATGAATCAATTAATTGAATTTGTCTAGCAAGAGGGAAGCCCTATGTACAACATCCAGTTAGCTTCATTCACTTGTTCCTAAATAACTTATGTATCAACAACAAGGTTGGGTGAGACATGCATAAAGGTATAAGTTGTAATGCCAGCACTCATCGGCTGAGAGGATTGTGAATTAGAGGTCTGCTCTACATAAAAAGAACTTGACACAATTTAAAGGGGAAGGGGTAAACTAGGGTAGGTTCCAGAAAAAATGATCTACAGAAATAGATAGGAATTTTTCTCCTCAGTTTATCTTCTTTATATCTTGATAGTCAACTATGCTGCATTAAATCCAAAGCAAAGGAGGTACTAGAAAAGAGAATATCATGCTAGGGAAGGCTACAGAGTTGACTTTGTCACAGAAGTTAAAGTACTTTTCTTGTTTAAAAGGATAGGAAAATGTGTTACGGATTGGAGTATGTCAAATAAAGTCTTTAATATTTACTATCTAATGTAACAGGAAGTCTATAGGTATTTTGATCAGAGTTGGTTTAGAAGTTGGTTCCATCCCCAAGATAAGGATTCAAATGTTTTTTCTTGCTATTGTTTCTAACATATTTATAAGATGATTTCTTTGTTGCTTTGTATGTCCCTCCCCCATGGTATAACCCCTGTTTTCACTGTATTTGATGTTGGTATAATTTGTGGAGGGGAAGGGGAAAAAATTGTTTAAATAAGGATACAGGGGGGAGAGAAAGACAGGGATGGGGAGGAGATGGGAAGGGATGGGAAGGGGAAACAAAGGAAGAGGCAACAATGCTTGATAAGAAATGTACTCATTACCTTGCCCGTGTAATTGTAACCCCTCTATATGGTATTTTCACAATTAAAAAAAAAAAAGACGAAGTTGGTTCCATGTTGGCTCATTGATGTTATTTTCTCTCTTAGTTTTTTTTTTTTTTTGGTCCGGTTGTGGGGCCTGAACTCTGGGCCTGGACGCTGTCCCTCAGCTCTACAGCTCAAGGCTAGCACTCTACCACTTGAGCCACAGTGCCACTTCCGGCTTTTTTCTTTTTGCTTATGTGGTACTGAGGAATTGAACCCAGGGCCTCAGGCATGCAAGGCAAGCGCTTCTCTCTTAGTTTTATTCTCTTGTTTTATTCTCTCTCTCTGTCTCTCGGTCTCTGTCTCTGTTTCTCTGTCTCTCTATCTGTCTCTCTGTCTATATCTGTGTCTGTGTCTGTCTGTCTCTGTGTCTGTCTCTCTGTCTCTGTCTCTCTCTGTTTCTGGCTCTGTCTCCCTCTCTTTCTCTCTCTCCAGAAGTCTTTTATCTCAGAAGATATTTCTGATTCCACTGGCCTTGTGTATGATCATGTGCTAGCTTCAAGAACTCATGAAAAATAAGTATATAAGAATTTTAGTCTATTGAAGGAGTTGGGTTCCATCAGCCAGGAAATGGAAGGTTGGAAGAGCCCGTAAGATACTCAGATTCTACCACATGCAGTAAGTCTAAAGAAAGTAACTCAAGGATGTGATTTAAAGAGCAAAATAGAGAAACTAGAGAAGAGATAAGGAAGGGCACTAGAGTAAGTCATAGCCTATAAAAGGCTCAAGGTCAGGAAAAAAAGACAGCCTATTAGTACCATGAAAAGTGGGCTTCAGAGGGAAATGGGGAACAGACCATGTGATCCTGTTAAATTAGGAATTTTGTCTTCATCCTGAGGGATATGGTAAGCCATTGGAGGGATTTTTAAAAGGTGCTATTTTATAAATTGGAGACCAGAATGAATACGTGACCCAGTAGGGAACATAGTAAAAGGTGAAAGAGAGAATCAAATTGTTTAATTTATTAATTATTGAGTGCTAAGTAAGGAATTCTTTATTTGATCAACATCCATTGCAGAGTTACAACAATTGTTCCTGGAAGCATTACTGTGAAGGTAAGGAAAAGTTAAGTCCAAGCTAGAGGAAGACTGATTGTATTTATGAAAGGATTTTTTTTTGCTCTTATTTTACCATTTATATTAATCATAGAAATTTAATAAGGCAGTGATACATAAAATCGATAAGTAGAAAAAAATAAAGCAGGAAAGACATGTTGAAATAGCTAGGGTGGAGTCAAGATTGTAGACAAAGGCGGTTAGGAAGAGCTAGCCTATGAAGATGACCTATGAACAAAGACCCATGAGAAGAGGCACTCTGTGGGGAAGGAGATAGGAAACGAGTATTCCAGATCTTAGGCATAGGGAACATCAAGTACAAAGGCCTACAGATAGAGATGTGGATGGTATATTCCAGAAGTATCAGAGAGATGAATGGGTCTAGAATGCGGTGACAAGAGTAATCAATGAAGTCAGTGAGCCTTTTAAGATTTTTTTTTTCTGTAGTGTTGGAACTAAACCCAAAGGTTACTCATACTAGGCAAGTGCACTAAACTATACTTTGTGTACCACTAAGCTATACTGCCAGCTACTGTGTAGAGTATAAATGTTGTAATAAGGTCTTTAGCCCATGGGAGTGTTTAAAACACAGTGACTTGATTTGACTTCTATTTCAATACCTGTGTTTGCTGTGTGGAAACTGTTAAGTGGTTATTGACAAATCTATCCAAGAAGTTGTAGTGACTTGGATCTCAGTAGTAGCAGTAGAAGCAGGAGACATAGTCAAATTCTGGATCTGTTTGAAAGACTAAGTGAACAATAAATGAAAGAGAGGAATTAAGAATTGCTGTAAGGACATTGTAAACAGCCTAGTTAGGCACATATTAGTATGAATCATTGTTTCAAGAACATCTATTATACTCTAAAATTAGCATTCTTCAGAATATCATTTGAGAAATAAAGCTTAAGGACATTAAATGAATGAAAAGCTTTGTCAATACCCAAGAGGCTAAAGCTGGATGGTAATGAACTGGAAGCCAACCTAAACAGTATAGTAAGACTGTCTCTTTTTTTAAAAAAAAATTATTAGGAGACTGAGGATATAGTTCAGTAGAAGAGTATGTTTCTGAGACCTTGGGTGGATCTCCAGTACTGGAAAACAACAATAACAACTAAATAAATACATAGCTTGTGACCCAGCAATCTCATTTTGAGGCATTTATCTCAGAAAAATAAAAATTTGTTGCACAAAAACCTGTACATAGCTGCTCATGTAATAGCTCTGAATAAGAACTCATGACATGTGCTATAGTAGGTAAATGCTTTACAACTTGTGGTTTGTACATAGCGTGGAATACTACTCAGTAATGAGGAAGGGCCAACTATTAACTTGGAATAACTTGGATGGATTTCAAGGGCATTATTCTGAATTTAAAAAGCCAATCTGAAAAGGTCACTCATTGCATAAGACTATCCTCAAAGTGTAAAAATTATAAAAATGGAAATAACCTTTGCCAAGGGTTGAGAAGGTACAGTAGCCCTACAGAGAACTTTGTTGTGTTGGAAAACTTTATCATTTTGATGGGGAAAAATTGACATACGTGATAGAGTTACACAGGACTGTACCCTCTATCCACATCAATTTCTTAGCTTTGAGCTTGTTTTTTTTTTGTTATGTAATATGTAATCAATCAGGAAAACTGGGTGACAGGTACACAAAACCTCTCTGTATTGTATCTGTAATTTCCTATGATTCCATCATTTCAAAATGAAAAGGCTGGAAGAAAAAACATCCCTCTGGCCATTTGCCTCTCTCACTTGCCTCGCTTCATGTAGATTTTCTTACCTTTTTCTTTCTTCTACCTTTCCTCTAAGTAAATCCGTTAGTTGGTCATAATACAGAATCAAGTTATTCTTCATCCTCTTTTTAATCGTTATCATTTAATTAATGTTTGCATGTTCTTGGTTTTGAAAGCAGGAATATTCTTTCTCAAACAAATTTGTTTAAAAAACAAAATAACCTCCATTTCATTTTTTATAATCCATAGTAAATCATTGTTCTTTCAGGTGAGCAGTCTACAATTCAAACATGTTCCCAACATTTGTTTTATACGTACTAAGAATGAATAATATTTTGAGGGCTACAGACATGTATTAGTGGTAGAATGTATGTATGGCATGCACAAGGCCTTAGGTTCAGTCCTAGTACCAAAACAACTATAATAATAAGGACAATAATAATCCTGATGTCTATGGATTATGGTCACCCATTTAGGATGTAGTGTTTTTATGGATTATGGTCACACATTCCGGACAGAGTAAGATGTTATTGTTTGGTAACCTTAACACTGAATATTATGTTCACTAAACAATGTATACACATATCAAGTATACATTCGTAACTCAAAATATGTTCAATTATGTGTATCAAAAACAACATTAAACATCTAAAAAGCATTATTTTCCATTGGGTTTCATACAAGTCTTTACATCAAAAAAGAAAAGAAAGGAAGGAGGGAAGGAAGAAAGGAAGGAAGGAGACAGAAAAAGAAAACGTCTTTGCCAGGCCAGATTTTTCGTGTGGAAAAATATTATCATCATAACTATAAAACATCAAACTAAATACAGCTCTGATCTGAGGGCTTGCAAACTGAATCTGGCAACACTTTGGGAAAGTACTAGTCTGGTTTCTCAAAGAGCCCTCCGGCTCTGCCAGTGAGCCCAGCCCCGGATATTCTGTGCTCTTTGAAAAATTATGAGTTGCAGGTGTTTAAATGTTCAAATATTTTCTTTTGGTCTTTTCAGAACCAGTGTAAATAATCAGCCCTACTAACAATGATTAATTTAAAAAAAAAAATTGGCCTCTGCATCTTTCTTCTTAGCTCTTTCAACCATACTTTTGAACTCCTGTCTAAACCTCAGTATTAAAAGGAAAACAAAGCACTCCAGGGTTGTAGCACGTTAGGATTGCACGCGCTTGAGAGCGAAGGAAGTTAGTCCCTCGCGCGGACCCGTCGTTACATCCCGGTGTTTGCCGACGGCAAGATGGCGGCGGCCTCAATGTCAGCGGCGCTGAGGCAGGCGTTGTTGGGGACCGGAGCGGCGAGGACCGCGGCCGCGGCGGTTTCCCGAGTTCCGTCCAGGTAACAGACCTGTCAGGTTTCTTCTTCAGGCTTTCAGGTCCCCCCGCTTTTGCGGAGTCCGTGCGGCCCGAATCCCGGAGGAGGAGGAGGAAGAGGAGGCCCGGGGCCGGCGTCCTCCCGCTGACCCTTTCCTGCCGGGAGGCCGGGCGGACCGGGGCGCGTGTGGGCGCGGGGCGCCGGGCCCGGGGCGAGGGGTGCGGGCGCGGGCCCGCGCGAGGGGCGCGGAGGGAGGCGGCGGCGGGGCCGACGCGGCGCGGAGCTGCCCGGGCCCTGGGTGCCGGCCTCGGTGCCGGCCTCGGGTGCCCGGGCCCTGGGTGCCGGCCTCGGGTGCCGGCCTCGGGTGCCGGCCTCGGGTGCCCCGGCCCTGGGTGCCGGCCTCGGGTGCCCGGGCCCTGGGTGCCGGCCTCGGTGCCGGCCTCGGGTGCCCGGGCCCTGGGTGCCGGCCTCGGGTGCCCGGGCCCTGGGTGCCGGCCTCGGTGCCGGCCTCGGGTGCCGGGCCCTGGGTGCCGGCCTCGGGTGCCCGGGCCCTGGGTGCCGGCCTCGGGTGCCCGGGCCCTGGGTGCCGGCCTCGGGTGCCCGGGCCCTGGGTGCCGGCCTCGGGTGCCCGGGCCCTGGGTGCCGGCCTCGGGTGCCGGCCTCGGGTGCCCGGGCCCTGGGTGCCGGCCTCGGTGCCGGCCTCGGTGCCGGCCTCGGTGCCGGCCTCGGGTGCCCGGGCCCTGGGTGCCGGCCTCGGGTGCCCGCCTCGGGTGCCCGGGCCCTGGGTGCCGGCCTCGGGTGCCCGGGCCCTGGGTGCCGGCCTCGGGTGCCCGGGCCCTGGGTGCCGGCCTCGGGTGCCCGGGCCCTGGGTGCCGGCCTCGGGTGCCCGGGCCCTGGGTGCCGGCCTCGGGTGCCCGGGCCCTGGGTGCCGGCCTCGCGTGCCGGCCTCGGGTGCCGGCCTCGGGTGCCGGCCTCGGTGCCGGCCTCGGGTGCCCGGGCCCTGGGTGCCGGCCTCGGGTGCCGGCCTCGGGTGCCCGGGCCCTGGGTGCCGGCCTCGGGTGCCGGCCTCGGGTGCCCGGGCCCTGGGTGCCGGCCTCGGTGCCAGCCTCGGTGCCGGCCTCGGGTGCCGGCCTCGGGTGCCCGGGCCCTGGGTGCCGGCCTCGGGTGCCGGCCTCGGGTGCCCGGGCCCTGGGTGCCGGCCTCGCGTGCCGGCCTCGGTGCCCGGGCCCTGGGTGCCGGCCTCGCGTGCCCGGGCCCTGGGTGCCGGGCCCTGGGTGCCGGCCTCGGTGCCGGCCTCGGGTGCCCGGGCCCTGGGTGCCGGCCTCGGTGCCGGCCTCGGTGCCGGCCTCGGGTGCCTGGGCCCTGGGTGCCGGCCTCGCGTGCCCGGGCCCTGGGTGCCGGGCCCTGGGTGCCGGGCCCTGGGTGCCGGGCCCTGGGTGCCGGCCTCGCGTGCCCGGGCCCTGGGTGCCGGGCCCTGGGTGCCGGGCCCTGGGTGCCGGGCCCTGGGTGCCGGGCCCTGGGTGCCGGCCTCGCGTGCCCGGGCCCTGGGTGCCGGGCCCTGGGTGCCGGGCCCTGGGTGCCGGCCTCGCGTGCCCGGGCCCTGGGTGCCGGCCTCGGTGCCGGCCTCGGTGCCGGCCTCGGGTGCCCGGGCCCTGGGTGCCGGCCTCGGGTGCCCGGGCCCTGGGTGCCGGCCTCGGGTGCCCGGGCCCTGGGTGCCGGCCTCGGGTGCCGGCGCGGAGCTGCCCGGGCCCCTGGGTGCCCGCCTCGTGTGCCGGCCTCGGTGCAGGCCTCGCGTGCCGGCCTCGGGTGCCGGCCTCGCGCCTGTCCCCCGTCAACCCGGCCCTTCCGTCCGCCCGTCCGTGGGCTCATCTGTTATCGGGTGCGTGTCCGAACAGCCGGGTTATTTCCTTTTCTTCATCAGTCTGCAGAAGGAGGAAAACTTTTTAGGAATTTCACCTGGGTGTGCTCCCCCCCCCCCCCCCCCATAACACCACGACTGGCAATGCTGGAAGGTGATCATACTTCTGCTTTCTTTTTATGTTTCCGAGATGGAGGGTTGGCTGGCGTGGAACCCAGGACTTTGAACGTCAGATGTGAGCTCTACCCCTCACTACGCCTTCAAGCTTAGAAAGGCCTTTTTTTTTTTTAAAGACTGGTGGTAGTACTGGACAGGTTTCCCATCCACTTTTACTGTAGTTCAGACATTGGTGGTTATTATTGTATTGCCTTGCAGCAGTTTTGTGATGGTGGTCTTTTTCTTTTCCTTTTTTTTTTTTCCTTCTTGCTACATCTCTATATTTCTCTTAAATTTTCCTGAAATACAATATAGGACGGATACCATAGACACACTTAGACGGAGTAGGCATTTTCGTTTACTAAATATATTTTATCGCTCTTTTTTCTTCACAACTTGTTAGTGTAAGTATTAACCAGGAGTTTTATTGAGTGTCTACTGCATGTTTTGGAGACTATACTAAATGTTTTAGACTAAATATGAAAGGCTCCTTCCATCCCCCCAGAAAAGTAAAACTTGAATACAGAACCTATTCAGTGTTACATTGAATAAATACAGAGGATATGCAGAATTAGTAAGAGTTAATTAGAACTGACTCTTGTGGGGGAATTTTATTAAGGCAGTGGGTGTTTTGGCCCGAAAACAGTGTCCTACGTAGAAGAGTCTGGGGTTTATAAAAGGCTTTCTGAATACAATAAATAGTAGACCAATGCATATATAACAGAGTCACTGAAAAATGAAGGTTCTAATGTTGGGGACAGGAAAAAGACAAATTTTTAACTGTTCTACATATGGGGAACATGAGGAGTAACAAGGTGCTTCCTAAGGTAAAATACTCCACTGAGTAACTTACTGCTAATATAGCATCAGTATACTTTATTTCTCCTTAGACATTAGGGGAATTAATTTCACATCCCCAAATAATAATGTACTTATAGTAGCCTAGAATTGAAAACTACTTCTAGAGAACCACTTGTGTTTGGTAACCAAACCACATCTTGTATGTCTATCTTCTTTCTTTCTTTTTTTTTTTTTTTGTGGTGGTGGGGGCGGGGGCTTGAACTCTGGGCCTGGGCACTGTCCCTCAGCTCTTCAGCTCAAGGATAGCGCTCTACACTTGAAGCACAACGCCATTTCTGGTTTTCTAGTGGTTTATTGGAGGTTAGAGTCTCATGGACTTTCTTGCCTGGGTTGGCTTTGAACCTTGATCCTCAGATCTCAGCCTCCTGAGTAGCTATGATTACAGGTGTGAGTCACTAGCTCCCAGCTTTGTATGTCTATCTTTAAGACACAGCAATTATGTGGTTGGAGTTAGATGATACTAGATTTTGGGAAACTGGTGAGATTACTATTATATAGGCTTAATAGTTTCTGCTTGCTTATATGTTGTAAGAGATTTGAAAATAAAAATTTAAATTATGATGACCTTTTGCATCTTGAAAACTTAAAAACCCAGGAAAATAATCTTAAATACAAGATAGCACATTTTAAATTTTATGCTTTTTTAACCCAGAGAATTTATGATATGCATCTTACTTAGAGGAAATTTTTGCCTCCTTTTCCTTACATATTGTTTGGAAGGACTTTAAAAAAATCATTATGATTTGAGAATAATGAGGATCTGGAAAGGCTGAATGGAAAAAGAACCAAATAATGTTAATTCCACATGTAAAGTTCATTTTATTGTAACACTTAAAAAGACATTTGCAAGTGGCATAACATTTCAAATGTCTTGAGTAAAATACAAGAGAGTGGGATTGGTAAGGCAGGCATGTGGTAATAAAGTGAGTTGGGAACCAAAGAAAAGGAACTGTCAATGGAAAGAAGCCAGGAGCTACTACACGAACATTTGAATTTAGTTATATGTCAATCCAAACTTGAAAAAGCAAGAAAGTAAAAAAGAAAATAATGTATAGATAAAGAGAAGGAAAGTTATTGAAATAAGGAAGGTGAGTGATTTTAGCTGATCTGCTAAAATCTACTATAGAGTGACTTACCATTTCCCAAGATAGAGCCTGACACGTAAACTGGCTATCTACATTTATTTATTTATTTTTCCCATAAGGGATTTTCCAGAAAAAATTTAAATCCCACCCTTACCCAATCCTGGGAATTAAGCCATGTTTTCAGCCTCTTTTTGTGTTGGTTTTGAGGTAGAGGTTCATTTATGCCCTGGCCTGCCGAACTGCCATTCTTCTACTTGTGCTGGGCATAAAGTGCTTGTACAGTAGCACAGCAATTGTGCCATAGCTGTGATGACAGGTATGTACCACTGAGCCCAGCCATTGGTTAGGATAGAGTCTCCTAAACGTCCATCCCCCTTCTTCACTTCCTAGGAAGCTAGGAATTATAGCTAGATTATAAGTGTGAGCTACTTCACCAGGCCCAAATTTAACTATTGAGGCAATTAATCACATAAGTTGGCACTCTCTTTCAAAGCAGCAATACTTAACCTCAGGATTAAAAAAAAAAATTTTTTATTTTATTACAAGGGGGATATCAGAGGGGTTACAGTTCTGTAAGGAAGGTAGTGAGTACAGTTCTGTAAGGAAGGTAGTGGGCCTGAACTCTGTTGGGCGCTGTCCCTCAGCTCTTCAGCTCCAGGCTAGCACTCTAACACTTGAGCTACAGTGCCACTTCCGGCTTTTTGCTTATGTGGTGCTGAGGGATTGAATCCAGGGCCTCATGCATGCAAGGCAAGCACTCTACCACTGAGCCACCTTCCCAGCTCCACCCTCCCTTGTTTTTTACCCACTTTTCCCTCTCCACCCTCCCCCCACCCCTCATGGAACTCTCCTCTCCCCCAAATTGTAGTGTTTATTTCCAACATAGTGTCTTGGGAGTATTGCTGTTGCATTGTTTTACCCTTTTGGACTCAGCATTTTTACTGCAGTGGTGTTCATTCATTTTAACATTCATATATTTAACTCAGTCTGATCTCATCTTTCTTGTATTTGCCTCAAATATAGCTCATGGCTATGTTTGTAGGACCTCAGAGATTCTTAAGTAT